TGTTTATCCTTCTATTCCTAATTAAGCTGACACTTGGAATGAAAGGAAATAGAAATTAGCTATACTCAACCAATTGATCTCCCATTTCACAACTAGATGTCAGTGTTAACCTACCTGATTAAATGTCTCAGGTGTGCTTATAATGAGGCAATTCAAATACTTAACCTATATGGGATACAGATCAGAAAGCAAACCATGTACCTTATTTCAAAGTGGGAGGATTAATGCTATATTTACATTTCAATTTTTTTGTGCTTCTCTTTTAATCATTATGCATGAAAATTAAAATTCTTGATTTGGTTCGGAAAGCCAGGCGGAGTATAAATTTGTACCTTTTTACTATTCCAACCAGAAGTCCTTCCCTATCAGAAATTGTAATCCCCTACCAGCTTTACCAGAAATCAAAGGAAAAGTATTCACATTCAAATGTAAATTTGCATTTTAGCAATCAGTTCCCTTAAACAGAAACATAATGTCTTTGTCCTTTTCTTGTAGATTCAGTGTGGTAATCTTTAAACACAATGGAAATTGTTTTCTCTTATCTAGAATGTCTCACTGCATTTCTCAGCTTTTTAAAAATCTATGCTTCCTATTCCTAAACCTCAAATCCAGGAACTCAAATCTCATGAACAAAAGCTGGGCAAAGTAATGTATTAAAATATTGAAAGCACATCCCTCCTTTCACCTTTACCAAAAGATCCCAGTGGGTCCCTTTTCAGTTTTCTCTCTCCTTTGAGAATCCATGGACCATGTGATCCAGTCTTATTCTTGTATCCTTTATATGAGAGAGTTCCTATGAGAACAGTTCTACAGGAGCATCTCCACTTTGACATTTTTAGAAATATAATTTCAAAGTATGTATCTTCCACTTAAAGGTTTTTAAGCTATATGCTAGGAAATACTAAAACAAGTTGTCTTTGGGGCTCACTTTAACATTTTGACAAAAATGATATGCTTTCTATTGTTACTTATAAGTTTACTTTTTTCCCTTAAAAATGGATTCATATCCAGGAGCAATTCTGTTTTGAAAGACAAGCTGAATTAGTGTAATAATCTTAGTACTGATTGAATACCCTAGTCCCCAAACTCCAGAACCCAAGCTTTTTGAGCATCAATATGAAATCATGAGTGGAAATTCCTACTCCTGATCTCATGTTTTGGTTACAGTAAAAATGCAGGTGCACTAAAATTTTCTTTTTATAAAATTACCTTTAGCATATGTATACAAGGTATAAATAAAACACAAATGAGTTTTGCATTTAGTGTTCCACTCTGAAGCTATCTTATTATGACTATGCAAATGTTCTAAAGTTTGAAACACTTTTGGTTCTGGCCCCAATAATTTTGGAATTAGAATATTTAACTTGTATACTGTATATCTGCATTTTTGACCCTCTTTTTTTTTTTTTTTTTGGTGGTACTACAGGGGTTTGAATTCAGGGCCTCACCCTTTCGGTATTTTTTTTTTTTTTAATCGGTCGTGGGGTTTGAACTCTGGGCTTGGGTGCTGTCCCTGCACTATTCAGCTCAAGGCGAGTGCCCTACTGCTTGAGCTACAGCACCACTTCCGGTTTTCTAGTGGTTTATTGGAGATAAGAGTCTCATGGACTTTGCTGCCCAGGCTGCTTTGAACCATGATCCTCAGATCCCAGCCTCCTGAGTAGCTAGAATTAAAGGTGTGAGCCACCAGAGCCCCGAGCCTCACCCTTTCTGGAAGCAGATGTTCTACCACTTGAACCGTAACCTCAGCCTTTATATCCATTTTTGTTTACTAATGGAAATAACTTTTTGGGTCATGCTGTCTAAAATCTGTGCATCAGTCTGTGAAACTGTATGTTTATTGACTTTAAAATCCATTTGTTCCTGAGAAAGAATTTTCAGTTCATCAGTTTTGGGTCTCCACTAGAAACACTCACATACAATTGCTTTTTGTCAGACTTTATGACCTGCAGGCACATAATGCACAAACATAAAATTAACTATTGATTTTGGTATAGATTTAGTACATCACTCTGAATTTTTAGTCAGCCTGAGAAAGAGGTGAAACTCATGTTAACCAATTCCAGGCAGACCTGTGTGCTGCATAAATAGTGAAAATGTAAGCACAGCAGACTGATGAAAGTAGATCTGGTTTAGAAAACAATAAAATACTATGGTGAATGTTTATTTAATCTGTTTGTTGTTTTTTTCCAGTTCTGGGACTTGAACTTGGCCTGAGCACTGTCCTTGAGCTTCTTCTGCTCAAGGCTAGCCTCTACCACTTGAGCCACAGCACTTCTTCTCCCTTTTTCTGTTTATGTGGTACTGAGGAATGGAACCCAGCGCTTCATGCATGATAGGCAAGCACTCTACACTAAGCTACATTCCCAGCCCCTAATCTTGAGTGTCATACAGTGATTAGTAGTAGTTTACTTGTTGACCTGAATTATACATTTTGTGATTTTTTTTCAGATTAATCTTCAAATAATGATTTTTCTTTGGTTGAGAAGCCTTCTTAATTTATGTCTCAAGATCTTTCTGTTGTTTTTGACAAAGATAGAATTCATAACCTATTGTTTATACTCAAGCAATTAAGCACCTGTTCAATTTAGATTCAGTTGGAGGTGGCTAATTGTGGTATTACTGATTAGACTCAAGGTTTGCAATTTCCCATAAGCATAGGGGATGGTACTTTCTAGAAGAATATCTAGGGAATCTGAGTTATTTAAACCTAAGAGGCACTGGTAAGTATTTTCCTGGAGACATCTATGCTCTTTTTTCCTCTGGCTTCATCTCTTCTAGAGTTCAGTGTAAGGTCACATTTTTTTTTCTTTTTCTGATTAGATGTGAGCCTTTCTCCTGCAATCTAGTTTTATTTCCAGCATTTGTTGCTTACATTCTAGATCCTTACCCTGGAATTTTTCTATCTGCTTTTTAAAAAATGTTTGTTCTGATTTAAGGTCACCACCAATCAGTAGATAGCTATTATTAAAGAAATAACCACTATGTCTGTGAATATATGCTCCAACGTGGTAGCTATCCAGGAAAAAATTAGTGAATACTCAGGATATGTAGAATTCAGTACTGTAAAGTACTATTAGTACAGTAGCTCTGAACATCCATATCTTGAAACTGCACAGTGTCAGGAGCATCACTGTCACAAAGTTACTGTTGTCTCATTAAAATGGCTCTCCAGAGATAAGATCTTATCTCACGCTCTTGAATACTTGAGCGCTGGATATATCCTGCTCCCCAGTGCTGCCCAACTTCCACTAAAAATACACTTCCTCTCAACAAATGCAAAAAATTGCATTTTGTCACTCTAATTCAGCACATTATGGGCTCTTTGGGGTTTGGGAGAGTTACTATAATTTTTATTTTGTTTTCTGGGCCTCATTTGCTTTGATGGAGGTGTAATTTTCATTAAATTAAAGGCAGAAACATATCAGATCATACAAGGATTTAAATATAAGAGACTACAATGCAGGATTGACCTAGCACTTCTCCACATCAACTGAGCTGTGTAATGCATATGCAGGAATGTAAAATTTTTGTTTCTGAAATTTCTTTTGGTTTTTAATTTTTTATTATGTTTTTGACCATGCCTGGTTAAAAAAAAAAAAAAAAACAACCTCTTATAATTCCACAAATAAGGTAGGCTTACTGTATTTGAATCTATTGTTGTAACATTATAGTGTTGTCTTTAATGATTTGCTTAACTTTTCAAGTATTTTTAGTTTCTAAGCTTTTCCTATTGTGTCCTGATTTTGCACATGGTCTGCATAATTGGTTTTATATAGATTTGGGGGAAGAAGGTGGTGATTGCAAAGAATAGCAGCAGCTGCAATTACGGAGTTCAGATTGTGACTGCAATCTAAGAACATATTACATATTGAAATTCTCAGCATCTGAAGGCTAATGATAGCATTCCTTGACAGTTACATTCCATATTCTTGTATTCTCCCCTCTATGTCAAAATTTTAATGTCTCTGGATGGTTTACACTGGCTACCAATGAATTCCTCACCTTATTAAAAAATTTATCTAGGCTTCAAACAGGTAAATTTAAGCTATGGTAATTTTATATCAATAAAGCTCTTATGAAAAAAGCCACAGGGCTGGGAAGGTGGCTCAGTGGTAGAGCACTTGCCTTGCATGCATGAGGCCCTGGGTTCGATTCCTCAGCACCACATAAGCAAAAAGAAAAAAGCCGGAAGTGGCACTGTGGCTCAAGTGGTAGAGCGCTATCCTTGAGCTGAAGAGTTGAGGGACAGCACCCAGGCCCCGAGTTCAGGCCCCCCCGACCGGACCCCCCCAAAAAAAAAAAAGAAAAAAGAAAAAAGCCAAAAAACTTACACAGAAACATTTCAGATGTATTATAGATGGGCTTTGTGTTAATGTGAGACAGAAACCCATGATATTTTATTTATATGAAATTTCAATTAGAGGGGCTGGGAAGGTGGCTCAGTGGTAGAGCACTTGCCTTGCATGCTCGAGGCCCTGGGTTCGATTCCTCAGCACCACATAAGCAAAAAGAAAAAAGCTGGAAGTGGCACTGTGGCTCAAGTGGTAGAGCGCTAGCCTTGAGCTGAAAAGCTGAGGGACAGCGCCCAGGCCCAGAGTTCAGGCCCCATGACCGGACCCAAAAAAGAAATTTCAATTAGAATATACTTTCATTTAGGATATATTATGTTTATTTATTTGTTTTAACTTAGGAAAAATTTCTAGTTGTCTCATAAGTATATATCTTAATGAGAGAAGAAGCTAAATATAAGAAGCAATAACTGCAATTTAAATCTTATTTTTGGCCCTGAAACTCTGGTAGAGAATTGAGCCACAGAATATTTTCCAATATTTTGTTTCATGCTTGGCTTCTCCTGGCCTGGCTCCTCCATTGATGGGTTGACAACTGGCTAGATAAAATTAAGGAAAGCCATCCATTCCTAAATTCTGCACTTTTAGCTTTTCTCTGTGATGAACCTACGGAGTATTCTTTTTACGACATTCCATTTATCATTACAGAAAGTTGTGTCCATGCACAAGTGGTAGCCGCCATCGATGTAAACACTGTCGCTAATGAAGTCTACAAGCATAGTTTTCCTCACACACAGTTGCTGGAGAAGACAATTGAAGTAAGTAATTCGTATTATTAAAAAACATATGTAACCAGAAAATGGATTGAAAAACACTCCCAAATCCTGGTTTCTCTTGGCTTAATTGGATGATGCATCGTGAAAATCATAGAAGTTTAGAAGGCAATTAATGGTTTCTATTTTATTAGAAGATAAAAAATGTATCTTTGTTCCCCATAGTGGGATATTATGTACTACAATATGTAGATCTAGTCACATGCTTTTGTTTTCTGTTTGAGGCTATTACTAATAAAGTTGCTATGAACATTCATGTACAAGTTTTTGTGTGAATTTTTAAATGTTCATCTTATGGGTAAATATTTAGGAGTCGAATTGCTGTATTATGTGGCAATTGTCCTTAAACGTATGAGAAGATAAAACTTTTCCAAAGTTTACTTTAACCATTTTACATTCCTATTGTCAATGTTTCAGGAGAAATTTAATTTTCTTGCCAAGATTTGTTATTAGTCATCCTGTTTTAATCATCCAAGTGAACAGAAAGGGTGTGTGACTTAAATTGCATTTCCCTCATGGCAAATAATATTGACTACTTTTTCATGTGTTTATGGGCTATTTTTGTGTTTTCTTTTCCAATAAATTTCTTGGATATCTGGCTTCCAGAACGTTCTTAGTACTCTAAGAGGTAACCTTAGCAACATTCTCTTTTCCTACTTCAACTCCTACAGGACAGCAATCTATGTCTTCTCTTGATGGATTTTTTTCTAAACATTTGATATAAATGGACTAATATAAGCCCTATTGTCTAGGTTCTGTTGCTTAACATGTTTTCAAAGTTCATTTGCATTGTAGCATGAACAGTATTTAATTTCTTTTTATTGATACAGTTTCGTTTATGAACTTACTATACTTTTTGAAAAAAAATTGTTTTATGCTTTAAAATTTTTTTCTCAATTACTGAAAAATGGGAACATATTGAATGCCATGGATCATGCTTGTAATGTTAGCTTCTCAGGAGACTGAGATTTGAAGCCAGCCTGGGCTTTGTGAGATTTTTATCTCCAATTAACCAACAAAAGGCTGGTAGGGGAATTGAGGCTTGAGTGGCAGAATGCTAGCCTTGAGCAAAAGTGGTAAGGGACAGTACTCAGGCATTGATTTCAAAACCCCAGTACTGTAGTAACTAATCAAATAAATAAGTAAGGGGAACATATTTCAGCTGTATGATTAGCAAAAGATAAAAGGTAGTAAGATTTAGTCATTCATTCATTCATTCATTTTTAGTCATGGGGCTTGAACTCAGGGCCTGGGCGCTGTCCTGGAGCTTTATCTCTCAAGGCTAGCACTGTATCATTTTGATCCACAGCACCACTTCTGGATTTCTGGTGGTTAATTGGAGATAAGAATCTCACCAATTTTTTTGCCCAGGCTGGCTTTGAAACTCCATCCTTAGATATCAGCCTCCTGTGTAGCTAGGATTACAGACATGAGCCTCCAGTGCCTGGCTAGTAATATTCATTCAGTGAAGAATTTTACCCATGGATATCATAGAGGGTACATGGTTCGCATCATCTTGGTAGTAACTAATAACAATGCATTTCAGAAACATCATGTCAATATAGCTTTCTCATGAAGATTGAACAAGTTTATACATGGAAGGAAGAAAGATACTATTAATGTATAATTTTGAATTGACTCTAATACAGATTATTTAGATTCATATATCTATAATATATTCAGTGTATTACATAATATTCAGTATATATTATATATATTATATATATATATATTTTTTTTTTTTTTTTGGTCGGTCGTGGGGCTTGAACTCTGGGCCTGGGCGCTGTCCCTCAGCTCTTCAGCTCAAGGCGAGCGCTCTACCACTTGAGCTACAGTGCCACTTCCGGTTTTCTGGTGGTTTATTGGAGATAGGAGTCTCATGGTCTCTCCTGCCCGGGCTGGCTTTGAACCAGGATCCTCAGACAGCCTCCTGAGTAGTTAGGATTACAAGAGTGAACCACCAGCACCCAGCAGAAATACATTTTGATTCTAATATTTCCACATAAGAAGTATATTTTATATATATATATATATATATATATATATATACATATATATATATATATATATATATATATACACACACACACATATGACATATAGTGGTTGAATCAGGCTAGTTGACATATTCTCCACCTCACATTCTTACCATTTTTTATTGTGTGATCCTTTCACAATTTCAAGCACAGAACACATTAATGTTAACTGTAGTTCCTATGCTGTACAGTGGCACTCCCACACATTTTCCTACTGTGTGCTCTTTGACCACCATCTTCCTACCCTCCTTCCTTAGGTCTAACCTCTGGGAACCACCCTTTTATTCCCTGGGTTTGATTTACTTAGATTCCATGTGTGAGACGGTGTAGCACTGGTTGTAAGTTTTGTGGGTTTTGTTTTGCCCTGTGTCTTCAGGTTCATTTGTCACCTCCTGTATCTTCTAATTTCTTCACTCCTAGCTTTGCGCAGTGGCAGTATCATAGCCAATGAGGTTTATCCGAGGCGCGATTATTGCTAATTGAAAACTAATTTCTTCACTCCTGCTCTTTGTAATGAAATCCTTGAAGGGAAAGTGTGGCATGTCTATGTCTAATATATAAAAATAACTCTGAGGGCCACATTCAAAAAGAAGATAGAGGGCTAATGGAGAACTTAAGAGTAATGAGAGGTTTAGGAATCTCAAATTTTATACAGCAACATAATAATCATTTAAATAGTTACTTCATTCAATGAATTGAATCCTTAGGGGGAATACAAACATGAGTAACATATATTCTTTGCTATCAAAAATATTTACTAGGGCTGGGAAGGTGGCTCAGTGGTAGAGCGCTTGCCTTGCATGCATGAGGCCCTGGGTTCGATTCCTCAGTACCACATAAACAAAAAGAAAAAAGCCGGAAGTGGCGCTGTGGCTCAAGTGATTGAGCACTAGCCTTGAGCTGAAGAGCTGAGGGACAGCACCCAGGCCCAGAGTTCAGGCCCCACGACTGGACCCCCCCCCCAAAAAAAAAATTTACTGTTTAGTTAAGAAATTATACCAATAATTAATTCTTTTGGGGGCTTCTGATTGAATATGACATCATAAAGATATTTCTAAAATTCTAATCCTTACATAAGAGTAATAAGAAAAAATGATGGGAAAAGATAAGGATGAAAATACAATGTTAATGAAGATGTGGGTTTAGTCATAAGCAGACACAAAAAAAGAAAACTTCAAGTAAATGTCTCAAATGCTATGAAAATAGGACAGAATTAAAGATGAGAAAATTTCCTCTACATATCTTGTGCAAAATCAAAAAAGAAAGAATGACAATTAACAAGCGGGGGAAAAAATACTCTGTACTTTTTTGTCAGTAACAACAGGAGACATTTCAAACCCCAATCACTAGGCTGAAGCTTCATCTCAACACGGATAGCCTTCACACTCACCCTGAAGGTAAAAACATAGATTAGACACAGCCTGTTCTTGTTAAGAAACCTAACAGGCTTTTACCAGGGACAAAGGATCTGAGAGGAAGCTCATTTTCCCCATCTTGAGCCTTAACTCTTTACTTTCAAGTGGCCTCCATTAAAAAATGAATGGTAAACCAAATTCTGTTAGCCTGAGGCCTGATCATGGTTCAGTCCCAGCCTGTGCAGAAAAGGTACCAGAGACCCATCTCTCAAAGAAGAGCTAGACACTGCGAAGTCTGACATAGGTGGAGCCTGTTCATGCTTGCACATGGGCAAGAAGCAGCATCCTATCTCAAGAATATTATGCACAAGTCAGGGGTGGAGGTATGACTCAGGTTCAGAATCCCTATTTAGCAAGCATAAGTCCTTGAGTTCAAATCTCAATATCATCCAAAAAAGTGAATATAATTAGAAAGGAACTAGTTGGATGTTATGGTTGCTATTTTAATTTCTATTATTTTTATTTTTCATAGTACAGGGGGTTTGAACTTAGGGCCTCACTCTTTCTTGACAGGCATTCTACCATTTAAGCCACTCCGTCAGCCTTTCTTCTGTTGATTACTTTTGAGATAGAGTCTTACTTTATGCCAGAATCAGCCTGGCCTGTCATCCTCCTGTTTGTATTTCCTTGTCTTGCTAGGATAACAGGCATGTACCATTGCACTCAATTATTGTACTTCCCCTATAGCAGGGATGACAGGTATACATCACTGTGCCCTGCTCACCTGGGCTTCAACCATGATCTCCCAGTCTATATCTCCCAAGTAACTAGGATTAAATGTGCCTAGATATACTTAGTTGTTTATTTTTATCTTTATTGTTTGGGATGGTCCTGGGACTTGAACTCAGGGCTTAGGAGCTGTCCCTGAGCTTCTTTGGACCCAAACCTATCGCTCTCCCACTTTGAGCCACAGCACCAAGTCTGGTTTTCTGGTGGTTAATTGGAGATAAGAGTCTCATGGACTTTCCTGCTTGGGATGGCTTTGAACCATGATCCTTAAATCCTAGCCTCCTGAGTCTAGGATTTCAAGCGTGAGCCTACTCAGGCTATATTCTATAGTATAGAAATAATGTCAATATTGGATAAGAAGGGGAAGGAAGGTTCAAAATATGCTTCTAGCAAACAGACGAAACTGTCAGCTCATGAAATCAATATTGTCAGAAACTCAGAGAGACCCGAGCTGGCAGGGGTCAGAGCAGTGGAACAAAGCAATAAGTCTGAAATGAAAATTAAGTTTTATTCACTGTGATTGTATTAGCAAGAATTTAAAACCAGAGAAAACACCCACCTTCCCTATTCCATGCAGTCCCATGGAATAATGCAAATGTACCATGGAGGTTAGGAGAGTGAGGAGGGTAAGGCACTGAGTTCAAGAGCAAAACCATTCTCAAGGTATCTTCCTCCTCTGGCTGGCTGCGGCCTTGGCAGGTGACTGCTGCTCTAGTCATTGGTGGTTTTTATATTTCCCGTTTAGTACTATGCCTGGCATGTAATAGGTACCCTAAAATATGAATCGTTTGTTAGCATTGCTTAATGAATAATAGATTGTCCCTATAAAATGCACAAAGAAATAACAGGCAATTCTGATAAAAGATACAAGGAATTTCAAAGTTGATATTACATCAGATGGATTTCATCACACACAAAAAATAGAAGTAGGGGAGGATGGGAAGGGATGGGAAGGGGAAACAAAGGAGGATGCTACAATGCCTGATAAGAAATGTACTAATTATCTCGCCCATGTAATTGTAACCCTTCTGTACAGTATTTTCACAATAAAAAATAAATAAAAATTAAAAAAAAACAAAAAATAGAAGTAATAGAAAGTTAAGTTATAGTGATAATTGGTAGTCCTCACAAAAGATCTAATTATCATATATATGCAAATATAAAATAACTTCAGAGTTCCTAGGGCAAGATATCCCCTCGGGCTAGGAAGGTGGCTCAGTGGTAGAGTGCTTGCCTTGCATGCATGAGGCCCTGGGTTCTATTCCTCAGCACCACATAAGAAAAAAGCCGGAAGTGTCGCTGTGGCTCAAGTGGTAGAGCACTTGCCTTGAGTTGAAGAGCTGAGGGACAGCGCCCAGGCCCAGAGTTCAGGTCCACGACCCGCAAAAAAAAAAAAAGATATCCCCTCAATAAACTTTTATTATATACTACAAAATATGAATAAGATGATTATTTATATATGATTATATGTTACATATAATTTATAATATATTATTAAATAGGATCATTGAAATCTTGTTTATAATCTAGAAGCTTAAAATTTGGAAGTTCTTTTCCTTCCTTCCTTCCTTCTTTCCTTCCTTCCTTCCTTCCTTCTCTTTCTTTCTTTCTTTCTTTTTTTCTTTCTTTCTTTCTTTCTTTCCTTCCTTCCTTCTTTCTTTCCTTCTCCCTCCCTTCCTCACTCCTTTCTTTCTTTCTTTCCTCCTTTCTTTCTTTCTTTCCTTCTTTCTTTCTTTCTCCCTTCCTTCCCTTCCTTCCTTCCTTCCTTCCTTCCTTCCTTCCTTCCTTCCTTCCTTCCTTCCTTCCTTCCTTCCTTCCTTTCTTTTTCTGTTTTTATTTATTTATTTTTTGGGTCCAGTCGTGGGGCCTGAACTCTGGGCCTGGGCGCTGTCCCTCAGCTCTTCAGCTCAAGGCTAGCGCTCTACCACTTGAGCCACAGCGCCACTTCCGGCTTTTTTTCTTTTTGCTTATGTGGTGCTGGGGAATCAAACCCAGGGCCTCAGGCATGCAAGGCAAGCGCTCTACCACTGGGCTTGAATTTTGGGCCTGGGCATAATCCCTGAACACCTTTTGCTCAATGCTATCACTCTACCACTTGAGACACAATGCCACTTCCAGCTTTTTCTGTGATTACTTTGAGGTAAGAGTCTCATGGGCTTTCCTGCCTGAGCTGGCTTCGAATGTGATCTTCAGATCTCAGCTTCCTGAGTAGCTAGGATTACAGGCATGAACCAACAGTGACTGGCTTCTTTGGAAATTGTTTGTGCACCGTGTCAAAACAGTAAAGTAATTGTAGATAGCAGAAAATGAGATCTTCTTCTATTTCTGACAGATCAGAGATTACATGACAATGAGGATAACTGAGCAATATATTAGCAAAATAAAAGTCACTGATAAATAGATACTTCTCTTCCTCCTCCTCTTCCTCCTCCTCCTCCTTCTTCTTCTTATATGGTTGTACAAAGGGATCCTAAGTGCCCAAATCAAGTTATAAGTACAATACTTCTTGGTCATTGTCACCTTTTATTTATTTTTTTGCCTATTTTGCCGCTCTTGTCCCTTCCCTCATGTTACATAGTTCATTTTTTAACCTAATATACATTGAGTATTTGTGTTTTAATATTCTTTTCCACCCATAAATGTTTGCTCTTTAGGGTATTACATTGGAGGACTTTGACAAATTATCTTTCAATATGATTTTAATGAGCCCACCGTGTCAGCCATTTACAAGGTATGGTAATTTCTTTCTCTATTCAGAAAGAATGCTTAGGGTGGAGGTGGCAAGCTGCTTAGCATGCTGAGGCCCTGGGTTTGATCTTTAACATTCCCTACTTCCTCCCTACTAAAAAGAAGAAAGGCGCCAGGTGCTGGTAGCTCATGCCTTTAGTGCTGGCTACTCAGAAGACTAAGATATGAGGATTTTGAAGCCAGCCCAGGCAGGAAAGTCCATGATACTTATATCTCTGATACTAGTGGAGGTAGAGCCATTTCTCAAGTAGTAGAGTTTTAGCCTTCAGCAAAAACAGTTTAAGGAAAGCACCTAGGCCCTGAGTTCAAACACTGAGCTCCCTCCCGGCCACACACTTATGTATGTGTATTTATGTACATACACACAAACACAAAGGAGAAGAAAGGCACAAAATCTATTTGGGGAGGTAATAAATTGTATTTGTTTTGGGGGGGGGGATCCGGTTGTGGGGCCTGAACTCTGGGCCTGGGCGCTGTCCCTCAGCTCTTCAGCTCAAGGCTAGTGCTCTACCACTTGAGCCACAGCGACACTTCCAGCTTTTATTCTTTTTTCTTATGTGGTACTGAGGAATCGAACCCAGGAACTCATGCATGCAAGGCAAGCACTCTACCACTGAGCCACCTTCCCAGCCCCTAAATTGTATTTTTATATTTTGAAAAATTTTATAGGTAATTCTTTTATTCATATTAAATCAGACTCAGTTATAGTCAGATGAGCAAAATAATTTGATTATCAATAGATATGCAAGAATATACTCTTGGGGCTGGGAAGGTAGCTCAGCGGTAGAGTGCATGCCTTGCAAGCATGAGGTCCTGGGTTCGATTCCTCAGCACCACATAAACAGAAAAAGCCGGAAGTGGCGCTGTGGCTCCAGTGGTAGAGCGCTAGCCTTGAGCTGAAGAGCTGAGGGACAGCACCCAGACCCAGAGTTCAGGCCCCATGACTGGCAAAAAAAAAAAAAGAATATGCTCTTTGTGTCTCCCTAAGCTGCAACATTCTTTTTATTATTATCATTATTTATTTTTTTTTTTTTTGGTGCCAGTTCTCAAGGCCTGGACACTGTCCCTGAGTTTTTATGCTCAAGGCTAGTACTCTGCCACTTTGAGCCACAGCTCCACTTATGGTTTTCTAGTGCTTAATTGGAGATAAGAATGTCATGGAGGGCTGCGAATGTGGCGAGTGCTTGCCTAGCATGCATGAAGCCCTGGGTTCGATTCCTCAGTGCCACATAAACAGAAAAAGCCAGAGGTGGCGCTGTGGCTCAAGTGATAGAGTGCTGGCCTTGAGCAAAAGAAGCATAGGGATAGTCCCAAACTCTGAGTTTAAGCCCCAGGACTAGCCAAAAAAAAAAAAAAGGGGTCTCATGGACTTCCTGCCCAGAATGGCTTTGTACCTCAATCCGTAGATCTCAGCCTCCTGAGAAACTAGGATTACAGGCATGAACCACTGGCATGTGGCTTGCAACATTCATTTCTGATCCAAATCACCTTAATTTATTTATAAAAAATGATTGAGTATTCTAGTATTAATAAAAATGAATTTCTATAATATTTAAGTTGCAAATTACTTAGCTGTAAAATTTAGCTAGTCTAGAGTGCATTTGTGCATTGTACATTCCTTAAATTGACACATGTATTTAATCTAATTTTTCTTAGCAGCATTATAATTGTTCATTAAAACAATTACATTGTGGTTACTTAGCTATGTGTTTCAAGGAATCACTTTTTACAAAATTTTTGACTAATTCATCTTCACTTAGGCATTTAAAAATATTTTTATTATTTAAATACTAATAATAGTAATCCTCTAAGTGTCGTTCGTAGAATATGTCATTTTGTTTAATAAGCGTATGGCAGGGCAGACATTACTGTTGTTATTTTACATGTGAGAAACTGAGACATAGAAAGGTTAAGGAACTAACCATGTTAATGTTTTAATGTACATTACTTCAAATGGAAGATTACATGTAACAAATAACTGTTTCTAGTGATAGTCTCATGCTCTCTTACTGTGTATTTATGTTCCATACATTGCTTCTGGTACTATAGTTCCTGTCCTGGAGTGAGGCTTATAGTCTAGTAGAAGAAAATGATAAGTAATTTTGATATAAATTATATAGTGTCAGAATATTGAAGGTGCCATGAGAGCATAGAGGCAAAAATGGCTTGCTGCCTACCAGAAGAAATTCTTTTAGGTGATATGTGAGCTGTCAGAAAGCAGATTAGAAGTTTATCAGAGAAGGCAGAGAACATTCCATATAAAGATGGCTCAGTGCATGTGCAAGAATGTGGCCTGTTATGGACATAAGTAGAGATACATACTTACATACCTCAGCACTGTAGGGCAGCATACATTACTGCACACATATCACATCTGTATTAGCCCAACTCTAGCTGCTGATGGCAGCAGCAACTGACTCTGTACTTGTCAGCTAAAAATTGAGAGCTAAAAATTTCCTCAGAATCTGTTTATGTCCCATTTAATCTCCTAGCTAAGCTCCAGATCCACTGGTGTTTTCTGCCCTGCAGTATGAGGAAATTGATAAGTGATGTCAAGTAACTTATTTAAGATAGGAGGCTAACAGGCACCAAGGCTTTAAACCCTAGTCCTCTGTTCCTGTTATGCAGGCCCATCTAAGTCTTCTTTGAACCTTGGTCATGTCATGAACCTTCCTTGGGAGATTTATTTGCTAGCCCAAGTACTACCTGTTTACATGACTTGATCTGATCCTAGTTAGTCTGACCAAGTTGTAACTCTGCATATAGAATCAAGCCTTCAGATTAAGTGTCTGTTTACATTGGACAAAAATACCTCGGTATTGCTTATTATTTAATCTGCTTAAGTGGTGGTTATGGCCAATGCCATAGGTAATGACCTCCTTGCTCTCTTACCCAGTCACCTCTTGCTGTCTTACCTGAGTAGAGCAAAAGATGCCATCATCACATTATACATATGTATGTGAATTTTCCCTAAATAAATGATTTTAAGAGAGTAATTGATTTTTCTTCCCATTGGTTTCTTATTCTTGTTTCATGTAAGTTTTTTGGACAGATTACTTTGTAAAAATGAATTTTCATCATGTTTATTATGTGTGTAAGACTGACATTTATTTTTAATTCCCAGTTTTGATTTTTTTAACTCGGATTAAAAAACTGGTATATTTATATGAAATTATTGATGAACTTCTTTGTTTTTTAATCCCTATAGAATTGGCCTGCAGGGTGATATGAGTGATCCGAGGACAAATAGCTTCTTACATGTCCTGGATATCCTTCCAAGGTGAAAACTTAGATTTTTTTTTTAAAGACTTATCTTAAATGTATGTAAAACTATAGCTCTGGAAGAATGTGATGCTTGTCATTTTATAGGTATTTAGGAGTTCATATATACTTCCTTCAGATACTGTGTTTTTCATTTATCATCTTTTCAATGACTAATTAATGTAACTGTGAATGTGCCAGGATTTAGTCAGGGTTTGCCATCACAGTGAGAGATGAATCTACACTAGCTAAATTGCATTGCCTCTGCTCATAGCAATGCAAATGGTGTTAATATCAGGGAATGTTGTTACCCAAGGCCTAGAAACGCCTGCAAACTCTAGGTGCATTATATTCTCTGTAAATAGCATCCCTTTGAGTAGGGCAATGCAGTGGCTTGACTCTGCAAACCCAGGTTCAGAGACAAGTTTGAATGGAGATTAACATTTTCAAGTGTGAACTTTGCCAAGTGTGCCATGTTTATGGCGAAAAATTAGTAAAATATGGATTATCTCTATCATAAAATATTCATTTATAATAAAAAAATTCAGAAAATTACCTCATTCTTATAAGTAGTGATTTTCTTTTTTCTTTATCATGAAATATCTGTAACTGCTTTGTTTTTTAGATTACAGAAATTACCAAAATATATTCTTCTGGAAAATGTTAAAGGGTTTGAAGTATCTTCTACAAGGTAAGAAAATACCTGTCAGTAGGAAGTGTCATAAATAAAGATCTCAAAAATGAACATGTATATTCTGATATTTTAAATAGGTTACATATTTATTAGTATTGACTTTGACTAACAATTTGCAGCTTTGCAAAGTTTGATTCTACTTATTCTTTCCCATTTTGAAATATTATCCTTTTTGTAAAAATGATATTTCTAGGATGCTCTTAGTTTTAGTCACTTACATTAGTGCCTATCTCTTTTGAAGTAAAAATGTTCTGATTAACATAAAACCTTGTTTCCATTTCTTGGAGTTCATTTCAATAATCATTGTTTTATATCATCATAGGCCCATAGCTATTGAACCTTTGTGATCGTCTCCTAAGAATACCCTCTTTTCGGGAATATGATTTAGTGGTAGAATGCTTGCCTAGCATGCATAAAGCCCTGGGTTCGATTCCTCAGTATCACATAAACAGGAAAAGCTGGAAGTGGCACTGTGTCCTAAATGGTAGAGTACTAGCCTTGAGCAAAAGAAGCTTAGGGAGCTGGGCACTGGTGGCTCATGCCTGTAATTGTAGTTACTCAGGAGGCTGAGATCTGAGGATCACGGTTCAAAGCAGGAGAATCCATATGAGACTCTTATCTCCAATAAACCACCAGAAAACCGTAAGTGGCACTGTGGCTCAAGTGGTAGAGTGCTAGCCTTGAGCTGAAGAGCTGAGGGACAGCGCCCAAGCCCAGAATTCAAGCCCTAGGTCTGGTAAAAAAAAGAAAATAAAAAAATATCCTCTTTTGGTCTGTGTGAATCTCTAGAGTCCTGTATAATTTATTATGTCCACATGTATTTTTTTGTGTTTTACCATCCAGTGTGTTTACCTGTAGATTTATAGGCACTTTTTAGTTACAACAAATGAGGGAAACATGCAACTGATGTTTCTTTGGGTCTGTCTTACTTTGCTTAATATAATTTTTTCCAAGTCTTTCTACTTCCTTACAAATGGGGCAATGTCATTTTTTTCTGATGGAAGTATAGAATTTCATATTCTTGATCCACACATCTGCTGAGGGGCATCTGGGTTGATTCTATATTTTGGCTATGGTCAACAATGCTGCACTGAACATGATTGTGCTAGTAGTTTTAATGTGGCCTTGTTTGTGGTCTATTGGATAAATGCCTGGGAGTGGAATTGCTGTCTTAGAAACAAGAGGTTTTATGTTATTTTGCTTCTGGTTTGTTTTTTTCTTTGTCACTGCTTTTAATTTCTGTACCTTTTGTCTTGTATGTAAGTTTAGCTGTGGAAGAGTAAGGGGGAACACAGAAATGGTGGGACAAAGGGTGAACAAATGCAGCAGTGACACTTGCTAGACACTATGTTGAAAATTAACTATACAGGTCGAGAGGGGAAAACTGGAAGAAAAGAAGGAGAGAGGAACCTAACTGTAACTCCTCTGTATATTACCTTTACAATAACAATAAGGTAAAATAAAAATAAAAATAATTTTTAAAGTAATAAATATAATCAATTTGCTTGCAAAAAAAGTTCTGATTAAGAACAGATTGTGAGCTGGATGCCAGTGGCTGAGGCTGCAATCCTATGACCAGTGTTTGAAGGCAGCCCCAGCAGGAAAGTCCGTGAGACTCTTAACTTCCAATTAACCTCCCCTCTACCCCCATACCCACACACATTAGAGCTGGAATTGTAGGTGTGGTTCAAGTGGTAGAATGCTTGCGATTGGCACAAAAGTTTAGAGACAGCTTCTAGGCTCAGAGTTCAAGCCTCAGGACAAGCAAACAACAACAAAAGAACAGATTGTTTCGGTAGGATTTTTCTGCCCTATTAATTAGGGCCTCCACATTCCATGAAAAAGCCCCATATCTGGGTTCAGTGAGATGGCAGTTTAGGGAAAAGATGTCAGTCTGAGTTAGTGCTTTGGTCTGTAACTCCTGCTGCTCACTAAGGGTTTTCCATTTAATCTCCTGCTGTGAAGATGTCATTCCCACCCCCTTGGCAAATTCATCATCAAATGGTTAACAATTTGAACCTTCATTAATGTGGGTACATCTTCTGGTAGCTTCATTTACTTATAATTCAGAATTATATATATGTTTATTAAAATGTAATTTTTGGCCTGGCCAAGGTGGCTCACAGCTATAATCCTAGTTACTCAAGAGGCTGAGATCTGAAGATGGTAATTCAAGGCCAGCCCAAGATTTGAGCACAGTGGTTAAGGGCCAGCCCAGGATGTGAGATTGGTGGTTCAGGGACAGCCCGGGTAGAGACATCATTGAATCTCCTGTCAACAGTTGTCCAGCAAAAAGCCAGAATAGGAGTTGTGTCCCAAATGGTAGAGTACTCCCTGTGTGTTTAAGGCCCTGAGTTCAAGCCTGAGTACTAGGTCTTACACACAAAAAATGTAATTTCTCAAAGATGGATCTGATTTAGTAGCATTGTCTTTCTAAACAGCTTGTGTAGGGTTAACCATTTTACTTATGGGTGAAGTTTTCTGCTTATTTACTATAAGAACCACATTTCCATTTTTTCTCTCTCTTTTCAGAGACCTATTGATACAAACAATAAAAAATTGTGGCTTTCAGTACCAAGAATTTCTATTATCTCCAACCTCTGTAGGTACCACACTTTAAACCATTATATAAATTATAATTTAAATAGATGTTTCTAATAATATTTTATGTAAATCCTAAAATTTAGACATGAGTCTTATTTTCTATAGAATTTAGTGTCTGCATGTAGCTTTTTTGATGGAAAAATATATAGTTCACATGAAGCTCATAAATTATATTTTTCTTTGTCATGCTTTGAAAATATATGATATACGGTGATTCCAAGTGAGGTGTTATTTAGTGATACTTTAATCCAAAACAGAAAATAAAATGATTATTTTCTAATTATATTTTTGTCGCATAACATTAAATTATAAACATTTCTTTCATTTCATTTTTAAGAAATCAAAGTAATTTGTTCTAAAAAATTTTTTGGCAGATTTTGATTTTATAAGTGTTGCCGTTTTTGTTATTGTTATGTTTAGTTTCTAATCTTCTTTAGCTAGAAATTAAAACCTACTTAAAAATTAGATGTACAATAAACTGTGGAAATTAGCAATATATCTAATTTCTTTAAATATATTTCATATTTATTGGCTTTTAACTTTTAAAATATTATATCTTCCTTTTTAATAAAATAATAAGTAACCAAGAATTTGAACTTAATTTTTTTAAATGTTTACTGTATTGGCAAGAATAAATGTAAAAATCCTCTATTTCATTTTACTTGGGAAATATAAAATGAAAATTATTTACAGACATATGATTTACCATATTCAAACTTCATTCAGATAAAAGTACAGAAAAGAACTTTAAAAGTTTTACAATAGCTTGAAAGAAAATAAACAGAAGAAGCCAGAGGTAGTGCTGTGGCTCAAGTGATAGAATGCTAGCCTTGAGCAAAAGAAGCTCAGGGACTCAGTACCCAGGCCCAGAGTTCAAGCCCCAGGAATGGCAAAAAATATAAAAAAGAAGAAGAATGCTTCCAAAAACCAGCAGCATATAGTCTACTCCAGCAGAATCTAGATATCTAGATGTAGACTAGGTGCTAAAGTTTGTAGAAATCTCTTTAATTTGGTATCCTGACTAATTGCTCTGCTCTATTTATAGCTTGGCATTCCAAATTCAAGGCTAAGGTATTTCCTCATTGCAAAGCTTCAGTCAGAGCCACTACCTTTTCAAGCCCCTGGTCAGGTACTATTACTGTGATTATTGTTGTTGCTGTTGTTCATGTGTTCCGGATATGTGTCAGTTGGCTAATTCCTTTTCAAGAACCTCTTTGTGTGTGTGTGCTGTGTTCCTTATTATAGACTACTCTCCATATCCATCTTCAAGGCCTTTTCCTCTCCTGATGCCACTTTTACTTTAAACAAAACCAACACACACAAAATATATTTTTAGTAGGAGAGAATGTTACAAGTAAAAAAAAAATTACCATTACTGCTATTTCCCTTCTCACCATTGACTTTTTGTTATTTTTTAATTTTTAAATTATTCATTATTTGATTATTAAAACTATTGGTTATTTTTGTTAAAATATTATATACTTGGGGCGGGAATGTGGCTTAGTGATAGAGCACTTGCCTAGCATTCATGAAGTCCTGGGTTTGATTCCTCAGTAACATATACACGGAAATGCCAGAAGTGGTGCTGTGGCTCAAGTGGTAGAGTGCTAGTCTTGAGCCAAAGAAGCTCAGGGACAGTGCTCAGGCCCTGATTTCAAGCTGCAGGACTGGCCAAAAAAATAAAATTAAATAAAATTTTTAAAAAATCATATGCTTTCCTAAAAAGAGCTTAAGAGTATTTTAACACAATGGTTGCATTTTTTTTTTTTGGGGGGGGGGGGGGGAGGTCTGGTCGTGGGGCCTGAACTCTGGGCCTGGGCGCTGTCCCTCAGCTCTTCAGCTCAAGGCTAGCGCTCTACCACTTGAGCCACAGTGCCACTTCCGGCTTTTTTCTTTTTGCTTATGTGGTGCTGAGGATCAAACCCAGGGCCTCATGCATGCAAGGCAAGTACTCTACTACTGAGCCACCTTCCCGGCCCCATTGGTTGCATTTTTTAAGCCAATACTGTTTAGCCGAATTGATTAAAATCTAGTAATAATTAGTATAACTGAAATTTAAATACTCATTGCCTATAGATAGGAGTGTAATTAGGTGAACAATTTTATGCACTTTGGTTAAAAATGAGGGTGGAGTAGGGCACCAGTGGCTCACACCTGTAATCCTGGTGATTTAGGAGGCTGAGATCTGAGGATCGAGGCTCAAAGCCAGCCCAGTCTGTGAAGACTCATCTCCAATTAAGCACTGGAAAACTGGAAGTAGCATTGTGGTTCAAAGAGGTCAAGCACTAGCCTTCAGCAAAAGAGCTCAGGGATAGCACCCAGGCCCTGAGTTCAAGCCCCACAGATGACAAAGAAAAAAGAAAATAGGGGTGGTTAATAAGTTTCAGTGGTTCAAGGAAATGGTCAGTAATCACTAATAACTATGCAAATAGAAGATGGGTTGTGTCATTTGAATCACCTGTATGCAGTATGCACCTTATCGCCCTTTCCCTAGTATTCAGTTCCAGAAACAATCTATACCGTATATTCAGAAAGGCATAATCAGTAAAAATGCATGATTTTTCTTTCATATAATAGGACTTGGTACAGGTTATGAGTTTTATAGAAGTTTTTCCTGTGGGCCTCATGAGCAGAAATAACTTTTCATGATGAAAAGTGGTTTTCTTTTTTTAATTACTAGTTTTCTTTTAGATCATGAGTATGTTCCAATATTTCTTTTTTAATGAAAAGAATATGGCAAACTCTTATCCCAAATACAGACTTTGGAATGTTAATATTGCTTTCTAAACTTTTTGCTTAATGCCAGGTACTGATGGAGTTTCCCAAAATGGAATGTGGGCATCCACAAACATATGCAGTAGATGCAGAAAAGAAAATTAAAGAAGAGAAAATTGAAGCCAGTGCTTGCTTAGAAAGCAGCACACACTGTTCTGGAAAGGATGGCATTCTTTATAAACTTGAAACAGCTGAAGAAATTGAGAGAAAATACCAACAGAACAGCGATCTCTCTGTGAAAATGCTAATGGATTTTCTCGAAGATGACATTGATATGAGTCAGTACTGTTTACCACCCAAGTCATTGCTACGATACTCCCTTTTATTTGATATTGTCAGCCCTACTTGCAGAAGGTCCACGTGCTTCACCAAGGGGTAGGTTTTCAAGCTGTTCCATCTGTCTTTTATACAAAATAATTAGGTTTTAATAGATATTCTTTTAGTTCTTCTCAAAACAATGAATGTTTCATAAACCAGAATGATTTTTCCCCCTAATTGCCTGCCTGGTGCCTCAGTAGAGAACATGAGTGAAAATTCCTCTGGCGGAACATGATGTGCACTACCCACAAAAGAGTTCATAAAAGACAAGGGCATTTTTCAGTGACTTTCATGGGAGTTTCAGTGCCGTGGTGTAGGCATGGCCTCCCTAGCTTGTGAATTGCTGACTTTTAGCACCCCTCTTTCACGACATGTTAAGCCTGAGAGAGTTATGTCCACTCTCATGATTAATGTGTTAAATAAGAAGCAATTAAGTGATAACCTAAAGAAATGAATTGAGTCATCTGCAGCCCATTCAGATAATTTTTAAATTTAAATTTTACTTGGTGTTTTGAATAAGTAATATATTCTCATGGCTCAAAATTCAAAAGGTGCTAAGATTGTTAAGACTCCTGGCCTCTTTCTTTTTTTATTTTTAAGTAAGTTTTTTATTGTGAAAATACTGTACAGAGGGGTTACAATTACATGAGCAAGGCAATGAGTACATTTCTTTCTTTTTTTTAATTTTAATTTTAATTTTTTGTGAACATACTGTACAGAGGGGTTACAATTACATGGGCAAGATAATGAGTACATTTCTTATCAAGTATTGTTGCCTCCTCCTTTGTTTTTCCCTACCATCCCTTCCCTCCCATGTCCACAACTATACTCCCCCTGGCCTCTTTCCACAGATATCTCTTGTCCATCTAATATCTCTCCCTACATGTAATCTGTGGTAGTGATTTGTTAGGTAACCATATGTAACCACTTGGATGTTTAGTTCATGAGGAGCTGTTGAAGTATGCAAGTAGAGTTTTATCCATGCTTTAAACAAATGATAGCCCACAATATATGTATTATGTTTCCTTTCTTAGCTACACATCAGTACATAAAATCTCCCTTATTTTCATGGCATAGTCATAATTTGTTTTTCTACTTATCTATTGATAAACTTTTAGGGGCTTCCTTTTCTTGAGTGTCTAATATATTTTTTGCAGTTTTTTTGTTTTTTGGGTTTTTTTTTTTAGAATGAAGAGGCAAACTGGACCTTTTTGGAAAAGTTTTGTCTTAACACCCAGACTGCTCTATGAAGGCCATTTGCCCTCATTTGATGGGAGTTGTATGATTTGACAATTTAGACCTTCTCTTTTTACCTATTAGCTAGTATCTGTAACAAGACTCTGGGCAGCTGATACAACCATATCAGACTCATCTGATTTTCTACTCTGCCCTTGAACTTGTAGGAGTGAGGATTTATTGCTTCACTTTACCTTAGATGATCTCTCTCAGCTGTTGTCTATTACCAAGTTCAAGAGGTTCTGTTTAGGACTGTCATAAAACAAGACTTATCAATTTTGAGATAAAAAAAAACCAACCTTGAGATTCTTTTGTAATTATGAACATGATATAAAGCAAGCTTTATTAGAGAAGTATATTCTATTGTAGTGAATGTCCACACATACATTTCTTTGTAGGTGGGGGTGGGAGTGGTAGGTAAGGGATAGGATGCTTGAATGGAGCTTGAATTCAGGGCCTGTACTTCTTTTACTCTAGGCTAGCACTGTGCCATTTGAACCAGAGCTCCACTGCAAGCATTTTGATTGTAAATTGGAGATAAGAGTCTCGCAGACTTTCTTGTGTTAGCAAGTTTGAAACTGTAATCCTCAGTTCTCCACCTCCTAAGTAGCTAGCAGTGCCCTGCTCACACACTTATTTCTATGTGTAATATATGTGAAAATAATTTGAAAAACTTATTTTTTTTCAGTTGTCTTTTTAAATTTATATTCTTAAGTTCTTCTATTATGAAAAAAATAATACTTACATGTTGAATGGCCAGGTTGACAATTATACTGGAAAAAGAAACATGCTGTACTTTTGATTTTTGAAATAATTTATACAATTTTTTTTTTTTTTTTTGCCAGTCCTGGGGCTTGAACCTTGGCCTGGGCACTGTCCCTGAGCTTCTTTTGCTCAAGGCTAACACTCTACCACTTGAGTCACAGTGCCACTTTTGGCTTTTTCTGTGTATGTGATACTAAGGAATCAAACCCAGGGCTTCATGCATGCTAGGCAAGCACTCTACCACTAAGCCACATTCCCAGCCCCAACAATTTTTTTTATATAATTAATTCTTGGGTGAAAATGGCAACAAAAACATTGGGTTAAGCTGGGCGCCGGTGGCTCAGGCTGAGTTCAAGCCCCATAATTGAGAAAAAAAAAAAAAAAGGGCTAAATGAGGGACACAAGAAGTCTCAGTGGACCTGTTTCTGTGGAATTAGCAGGGTTTGGGATCCTGAGAAAAAAATGATGGTTCAGGTATTAGTAAATAAAATAGCAGTCTGTTTTACTTTTAACTCTTAATATGGAAGACTTGTTAGAATTGAACATATGAATATAAAATACATATTCTAATGATGAATCTTTTTTTACTTTTGGTCGATTGTGGGGTTTGAACTCTGAGCCTGGGCACTGTCTCTGAGCTCTTCAGCTGAAGGAGAGCACTCTACCACTTGATCTACAGTGCCACTTCTGGTTTTCTTGTGGCTAATTGGAGAGTCTCATGGACTTTCCTGCCTGGGTTGGCTTTGAAGCCCAATCCTTAGCTCTCAGTCTCCTGAGTAGCTAGAATTATAGGCGTGAGACATAACATTTGATACGAAATTATAACAACACATAATTCAGTGGCATTTATGCAACTCAAAAACTGCCACATTTAGTTACCAAGAAGTTAATTAAATAGAATGTCTTTTACCTAGTCATGTTACCTAGTCATTTTTCAATTGAAATGCATATTTCAGTCAGGATATTGCAGAAGGATGTGTAACTATGTGTGTATTAAGTCATTCGAGAAATCTGTAAGAAATCTAGCATTACCAAATAGGTTGCATACTGAATAACATTCATGTTAACTTTCTAGTTATGGAACCTACATTGAAGGGACAGGATCTGTGTTACAGACTTCAAAGGATGTGCAGGTACCATGTATGTTTAAAACTTTTAAGCAATCTTACATTTAATACTTAATTTGAGAATGTTAAAAATAATTCAGAATGTTCAACTGGGAATGTATATACATGTATATACGTATGTGTATGCATATATTCTATTCACGTATGTATGTATGATCATATACATTTCTTCAATGTCAAGGAACGTTTGTTGCTGTGTATGAATTTTGCATTTCGAATGTTCCATATTTTTCTTTTCTAATTTTTATTGTTGTATTTGCATTTCTTTTTATTCCATAAATAGCAAATTCAGGTTTAACCTACAGTCATTAGCACTCTAAAATTTTGCAGATCGATCTTAATATTGAAATTGTCCTTTGTAGTCCATACTTTCAAACTTATTTATAGGCAAGATATATATGTTCTAGCAAAGCACATTATTCATTTGCTGTCAACTTTTCTTGGTGTCATGGTTTAATATTACTTGATATACAGAACTAAAAATTTTTGAATAATTTCAATGTCAGATCATATTATCTTCCTTTATACTCATCAAATTCTTGGTAAAATTTACTCATAGTAAATATTCTACCATAGGCAAATGAATGCCTAGATTTGAGAAATCATATTTAGTATATTTTCTTCATTTATAAGGTACCATGTTAATTGGATAAAATAGATTTACAATAAACTTTCCTTTATTTATTTTACTTTTATTTTTGTCCATAGTGGGGCTTGACCTCAGGGCCTGGGCACTGTCCCTGAGCTTCTTTTGTTCAAGGATAGTACTCTATCACTTGAGCCACAGCGCCACTTCTGGCTTTTTCTGTTCATGTGGTACTGAGGAATTGAACCCAGGGCTTCATGCAAGCTAGGCAAGCACTCTTCCACTAAGCCACACTCCCAGCCTTTAAATTTTCTTTTAGTGTAGCATTGTGAAGTTCACTTTGTTGATTTCCTTTCATACTTTTCACTGTATTATGTTTTATTATCATTATGAATTATGATTAATTTTAAGGATTAAAAATAACAGCTGAACTGAGAAGTATCCTAAAGTGTTTAGTGTCAACCCTTTCTTTGCTTCTCTTTTTCGTTTTCCTTTTTGGGATAGCCATGTTGCTTGAACACAGAACCATGTGCTCCGTTCATCTTTCTTGCTCACTGCTGACATTCTACAACTTGAACCATGGCTCCACTTGTAGCCTTTTCTTCTTTCCCAAAATCTATGTTATCATTATAGAGCCAATTATATAATTTATTGTAGAGACATTTTTCTTATATATCGTGTTACCATGTGATATAGCAGACATGTTACACCTCCAACATTTGTAAGCTGTTATTATTGGAAATTTGATCTTAACAAATCTGGTTGCACTCACTATATTCCCAGTTATACTGATTGATTGATTGATTTCACAGATTGAGAATATCTACAATTCCCTTTCCAATTTGCCAGAAGAAGAAAAGCTAACAAAATTGGCAATGCTTAAACTGCGATATTTCACGCCTAAAGAAATAGCAAATCTCCTTGGATTTCCTCCAGATTTCGGTATGTCGGATCCATGCAGATCACAGCTTTCGTTTACTAAAGCTCCCCCAATTTTTTTCTTTTCTTTCTTTGTCATTCAGGGCCTGTGCACTTTCCCTAAGCCTCTTTGTATTCAAAGCTAGTGCTCTATCACTTGAGCTATAGTATCATGTCTGGCTTTTTCTGTGTAGTTTATTGGAGGTAAGAGTCTCACAGACTTCCCTGCCCAGGCTGACTTTGAACCACAGTCCTCAGATCTCAGTCTCTTGAGTAGCTAGGATTACAGGTGTGAGCAAGCTCCCCAAATTTTATCAGAGACTTACATGTATTTCATAAATAAGACCTTGCCCAGATAGGTCAGTTCAGAAACCTCATCCTTCCCTGATAGCTCCATTTGGGGGGGGGGGGGGGAGGCGTGGCGGACAGGGTTATTCCTCTTTGTTCCCTTTCCCTAATGCCTCAGTCCATTCCCTTCTGACTCAGTAGCAGAGACTCCAGTGTGTGTCAGTTTCCCCAGGCAGGAGGCACAGATGAGCAGTTCCCTTCATCCCCCAGAGGCTTCTTTATAGCATTCTCTTTCCAACTTACTTTCTGGCTTCCAAGTTCTGAACCTAATAACCCCTCACTTGTGAAACGGTGCTTCCATTGGCTTTTTTAAATGAAGAAATTTAAAAGCAGTTCAGTTGAGGACTTTTCTTTTCTCAATGAGGGAAGGTTTCTTTCTATTTATTCTCCTCCAGCAGAGATCCATCCTTATCAGTTGTATGCCTTTCTCTTCCTGCAAGGGTTAATTTTGTGGAGAAAAGAGTAGGTGGGGAGGCAGTCTAAGAAGGAGTTTTCCAAAGGAAAGAAAAAGATTAATAAAAACCACAGAAACCAGCACTGACCAAAGATTAGGGGATCTTCAGCAGGGTGCCTCGAAAACAAAAGCAAAGATAGACAAAGTCCTACCTCAACGGCACTTCAGGAAATCCAGGAATTTTTACCACTAAGAGAGATTGGACACACTGTCCTGGCAGGCATGGCGCAGCCTGGCCCCCTCTTCCTAACTCCATTGCTGGCCCTGGCTCTCTTCTGTGAAGGAGTCTGGGAATGGTGTGATATCAGTGCCCAGCTAAGGGGCAGAGGGAGGGATACCATGCCTTCGGAGCTACAGGAGGAAGAAATGTACATTTGAGGCCATGACTGGGAATTTGAATGTAGAAAAGGAAAACTTTACTAAATTCAATGCTCTTGTAATATGAACACCGTACCATTCTTAAATAATGGGTGAAAGGAATGGGGTTTCACATTCTAAATGGTAGATTTACCACTGAGGCTTTGGAACACAATCCTTTTGTACACTGGATACAAACACATTATAATCTAACCACTCCCTTGGTAGATGACTGTCTGCGTATAGTCACAGCAGCCAGCTTTCTTTTCTACTCCCTGCCCCCCCCTCCACCTTCGGTGATCTCATTCAGGCCCAAATATCTTGGGGAGTATTATTGAAGAAAAACACAGACGTCCCTTGTCTTGGTTTATGTCACAGAGTGAGTGAGAACATCATAGCACAAAGAACTGAGAGTTGGACTCGATTCTAATTTCCAGTTGCTTTCTTGGTGACTATATTTCCTCCTTTTTGAACAGTTAGACATGCTTTACCTACCACTTGAGAGAGAAAAAAAGAGTGATTATTCAATAAAAAATGAAGTCTTCCTACAGTGCTCGTTTATTCCAGGAGCTACAGTCACTTTGGTTATCCTGAAACTCCATGAGGCGCACAGACAGAGGCAATATAGTCAGAATAAGTTAGAATCCTCATTCCACTTCAACCTGTCTTAGTTTAGTCATTTGCAAAATGGGAAAAATCATAGCACCAATTTCATAGGGCTAGGAGAGTTTAGTGAGTACTATATTATAGATGTCTGCCTGGTATCTGAGACAATGCAATATTTGAGTTATTTTTATTTTCAAATGATACTTTATAACTTGATAATTTATCATTTTAAACATTTTAGATATGTTGAAATAGACATTTTTTTATTCTCTGAATATGTATAACATGTATGAGAAAAGAGGCTTTTAAGTTGCTGAATTGAAAATATATGCTGTGTTGTGTGGACAACTTGCCCTGATGCTTCCCCTAAGCACCTCATGTATGTTTCCATGGTTATAGGCTCTGGACCCCAAAGTAGCCTTAGTTTGATCTGTTTGTCCACTGGCAAAGACAGATAAGCATCAATTTCTATGTACATTGTGTCCTGATTCTTTGTGACCAGTAGTATTCACTTGTGAGGCAGCAGGCTTTGGAAGAAAGGGACCGAACCTACACTCACTAGATGGGAGCTACCATCTTGACCTTGAGAGAGACCTAACTTACACTCATTAGATGGAAGCTACCATCTTGATCTTGAAAGGGACCTAACCTACATTCACTGGAAGGAAGCTATGGTTTTGGCTTTGTTAATTCATGCTTCTTTTCAAGAATTATGGTCTTTAAGTTTTCTTTCTTTCTTTCTTTCTTTCTTTTTTTTTCTTGCCAGTCCTGGGGTTTGACCTCAGGACTTGTACACTGTCCCTGAGCATCTTTTGTTCACAGCTAACACTCTATCACTTGAGCCACCGAGCCACCTCTGGCTTTTTCTGTTTATGTGGTACTGAGGAATCGAACCCAGGGCTTCATGCATGCTAGGCTAGCACTCTACTAATAAGCCACATTCCCAGCTCTGTCTTTAAGTTTTAAAAGTCTCCTGTAAACTTGAAAATTAACATAATTGGGCTGGGAAGGTGGCTCAGTGGTAGAGCGCTTGCCTTGCATGCTCAAGGCCCTGGGTTCGATTCCTCAGCACCACATAAGAAAAAAGCCGGAAGTGGCGCTGTGGCTCAAGTGGTAGAGCGCTAGCCTTGAGCTGAAGAGCTGAGGGACAGTGCCCAGGCCCAGAGTTCAGGCCCCACGACCGGACCCCAAAAAAAAAAAAAAAAAAAAAAAAGAAAATTAACATAATTTTCTCCCGTAAGACAGTTTGAACTTTAATATCAGTATATAAAATATATTTAGATACATAGCACATAATTTTTAAAAATCTTATTTGTTCCAAAACTGTTCCTTCTCAAAGCTTCAGAGTAATCTTTCATTTTTTTTTTCTTTTTTCTTTTTTGTGCTAGTCCTGAGGCTTGATCTCAGGATCCAGGTATTGTCCCTGAGCTTTTGTGCTCAAAAAACTAGCCCTCTACCACTTGAGCTACAGCTCCACTTCTCAGTTCTTTTGATGGCTAATTGGAGATAAGAATCTCATGGACTTTCCAACCCAGGCTCTCTTCAAACCACAATCCTCAGATCTCAGCCTTTGAGTAGCTAGGATTACAAGTGTGAGCTGCTAGCATCTGGCCCTTCAATGCAATCTTAGCACTATAAAAGATTATCCTTAGGATAGTCTAAAAGCTGATTTGTAAATGCTCCTGTACCTCTGTCTATTTTCAACAAAATATTTTTTTTTTTTTGGCCAGTCATGTATGCTAGTCTATCACCAAGCCATATTCGCAGCCCCTTAACTACATAATTTTTTTTTTTTTTTTTTTTTTTTGTCATGGGGCTTGAACTCTGGGCCTGGGTACTGTCCCTGGGCACTGTCTTCAGCTCAAGGCTAGCACTCTACCACTTGAGTGATAGCGCCACTTCTGGCTTTTTCTGTTTATGTGGTGCTGAGGAATCAAACCCAGGGCCTCATGCATGTGAGGCAAACACTCTACCACTGAGCTACCTTCCTAGCCCCTCAACTAAATAATTTTTTAGATGAATAATATGCTTATTTTAGGATATACACTTTACAATCACACTTGATTACAAATGACAGTTCTCTTATAGTAACTATTATTATGGCTAGGTTTTATCCCATATTAATGAAGCAACTTTACCATAGCTCTACCTTTTGGCTTTTCCAAATAGGTGAAATTTTATTATTTTTTGTTGTTGTTGTTGTTGGTCATAGGGCTTGAACTCTGGGTCTGGGTGCTGTCCCTCAGTTCTTCAGCTCAAGGCGAGCACTCTACAACCTGAGCCACAGCACCACTTACGGTTTTCTGGTAGTTATTTGGAGATAAGAATCTCACAGACTTTCCTGCCTCAGCTGGCTTTGAGCCATGATCCTCAGATCTCAGCCTCCTGAGTAGCTAGGACTACAAGTGTGAGCCATGGGCGCCAGACTAAAATTTTAGTGCTCTTTCATTATTTCCCTCGTTTCATTAACTAATTTGCTATTTCTTCAATTACTTATTATGTCAAAGTGTCCTGAATGTGAAGAGAAGTCCAATAAGAAAAAGTCAAGTTGTAGAAACACAGTATGAAAAGCAACTGAGAGAGACTTGCATTCAGAATATTAAAAGAACAGCCAGGCACTGGTGGCTCATGCCTATAATTCTAGCTACTCAGGAAGCTGAGATCTGAGCATCACAGCTCAAAGCCAATCTGGGCAGCAAAGTCCATGAGACTATGATCTCCAATTAACCACCAGAAAACCAGAAGTGGCAGTGTGGCTCAGGAGGTATAGTGCTAGCCTTTAGCTGAAGAGCTCAGGAACAGTGCCCAGGCCCAGAGTTCAAACCCCATGACCTACCAAAAAAAAATGTGTGTGTGTTTGTGTGTGTGTGTGTGTTTAAAAGAACGCTATAATGTAACAATAAAAGCCAAAAATAACCTAACTTTAAAATGTACACAGAAATTTAATGTGCATATTTCTGAAGAAGATAGACAAATAACCAATAAGCATATGTAAGATATTTAACATCATTAGCTACTAGAGGAAATGTAAGTCAAATTACAATGGAAATTACTTCATACCTGCTCACATGACTGGGAATAAAAAAGCACAGAATCAGCAAAACTGGAGAAATTAAAACTTATGAGACTGTTGATGGAAATTCTAATAGTTCCACAAATATTAAACATAGAGATATTTCATACTCCTAGGTATATATATATCTAACAGAATTGAAAGCTGGTGTCTACACAAAAACATATACAGGGATTATTTATTTATACAGCGTTATTTATCATAGTCCAAAGTACAAACAGCCCAATTAAAATGTGTTCTATCCTTAAAGGAGAATATCATACAGGTATGAAAGTAAGTATTAGTACATACAACAATACTAAGAAACCATGAAAACATTATGTGAACTGTAAGGAGCTAGATATAAAACAGCATATTATTTGGTTCCATTAATATGAAATGTTCCAAATAGACAAAGTCATAAGTACAGAAAATTAGATTGGTTGGGAGGGTGAGGAAAAATGGGGAATGACTCAATGGTTACCAGTTGTAGGGTTTTTTTTCGCTTTTTAAAAAAATTATTGTTATTATAAAGGTGATATACATAGGGGTTACAGTTACATAAGTCAGGTAATGAGGACATTTCTTCCTTTCTTTCTTTTTTTTTTTTTTGTCGGTTGTGGGGCCTGGGCTCTGTCCCTCAGCTCTTCAGCTGAAGGCTAGTGCTCTACCACTTGAGCCACAGCGCCACTTCTGGTTTTCTGGTGGTTTATTGGAGATAAGAATCTCAGTCTTTCCTGTCTGGACTGGCTTTGAACCTCGATCCTTAGATCTCAGCTTCCTGAATAGCTAGGATTACAGGCGTGAGCCACTGGCACCTGGCTAATGAGGACATTTCTTTTTGGACAATATCACTCCTTCCCTCACTGTCTCCCAGTTGTTTCTTTCTGGGATAATGAAAATGTTCTAGAATTAATAAAGGTGTTTAAAATACTCTGTACTAAAAACTAGTCAGTTGAGTTTTGGAGTCTAATTTCCATTTTCTGTGAGAGAACAGAAAATAGTTCTCTCCTATTTCTTCCTACTATAACACTGTTGCCCTAAAACAGTTGCTAATTTTTATTTTTATTTTTTTGGTCCAGTCGTGGGGCCTGAACTCTGGGCCTGGGCACTGTCCCTCAGCTCTTCAGCTCAAGGCTAGTGCTCTACCACTTGAGCCACAGCACCACTTCCAGCTTTTTTCTTTTTGTTTATGGGGTGCTGAGGAATTGAACCCAGGGCCTCATGCATGCAAGGCAAGCGTTCTACCACTGAGCCACCTTCCCAGCCCCCACAGTTGCTAATTTTTTTTAAAGGTTGAATAAATAAAAATGGTAGCCACCACTTTCTATAGCATATTTACTGTGGATACATGCACACACAGATGATACTATGTAATATGATGTGATATTTATAGTTTCTCATTTTGTGGACAATATACTAATATTTTGGTCTCCAAATTCTCATTTATGAAGAAAACTTCATGGAAACTTTTAGAGATTTATTGTGTTATGTCTCTTAACAAAGAGCATCCATTCTGAAAAATGTTTCCTGAATTACTTTCATTGTTGTGAGCCATAGAGTACTTAGGTGAACTAAGACAGGTACAATATCAGTCTCCTTCAGTGAATTGTCACCCAGGACCATCAACATGTCTGTAGTTGATTGCTCACCGAAGCATTGCTGTGAGGCACATGACAGCATTTATGAGACGGCATTTGTGCTCTTACAAAAAGATCCCTTGTACCTCTGAGAATTAGAATTACAAATGACTATTATTGTTGCCTCTCTTTTCTAGAATTTCCTGAGAAGATAACAATGAAGCAGCGTTACCGTCTACTTGGAAATAGTCTCAACGTGCATGTTGTAGCTAAACTAATCAAGATCCTATGTGAATAATTCTGAAATAACGGAAACGAAGGTCACGATATTACGTCACTTGCCAAGGCAGTAATTCTGAAATTGTTTTGAGCTAAACCTGATTAAGATTCACCTAAATTATTTTACTCTTTCTTTGGTAAGAAATTTGGAATTTTCATAAAATATGAATGTTTTATTAAATCTATATTGCTATATTTTGTAAAGCATTAGATTATTGTTTTGCTTTATGAAGGATATATTTTTATATGAAACTTAACTATGTCTGTGAAATACCTTTGTAATCTGGTATAAACAAATTTCATCTAAACAAATACATTTTAGATCAAATTATCATCATTCAACTTAGACAATAGTATGATACTTCTAATTTTTATATTGTCTCTATCAGGAGACCTCAGAAAATGTAGGCACATGTCAGCTAGTTATCTTTTCAGGTCAAAACCCAATGTCCTTTCTCCGTTTCTATAAGCTTTCTCATAATTATCAGAGCTTTAACCTGAGCTGGCTCTGGTCTACTCAGCTTTTGAATTCACTTTCCCACCATCACCTTCTAAGGCACATAATGTGGCATTAAGGTTTTAGGAAGTAAACAGTTATCTGACCCCATTCTTTTTCTTTCTTTTTTTTTTTTTTTCGGTTGGTCATGGGGCTTGAACTCTGGGCCTGGGCATGTCCCTGGGCTCTTCAGCTCAAGGCAAGCACTCTACCACTTAAAACCACAGTGCCACTTCCGGTTGTCTAGTGGTTTATTGGAGAAAAGAGTCTCAGGGAGTCCTGCCCGGGCTGGCTTTGAACCGTGATCCTCATATCTCAGCTTGGATTTCAGGCTTGAGCCACCGGCGCCCGGCTGCTGACCCAATTCTATATGACATTTATCCCCTGACCACTAGAGCTTTTGTTGTTCTTTTTAACTGTGGTGAAATATACTCTGACTTAACTTTCGTAATTTTTAACTTTTCATTCTCTCCTTAGCAGAACACTTTCAGTAACTACGATTTCTAATAAGACCAAGTCTTATATTATAAATCTTGATGTTTGGGGGCTGGGAAGGTGGCTCAGTGGTAGAGCGCTTGCCTTGCATGCCTGAGGCCCTGGGTTCGATTCCTCAGCACCACATAAGCAGAAAAAAAAGCCAGAAGTGGTGCTGTGGCTCAAGTGGTAGAGCACTAGCCTTGAGCTGAAGAGCTGAGGGACAGCACCCAGGCCCAGAGTTCAGGCCCCACGACCGGCCCCCCCCCCCCCCAAAAAAAAGAAACAAAACTTGATGTTTTATTTCAATACTAAAAACGATGAAAAAAATTGGTAAAGAAACAAGACTAGAAATTATATCATGAAGTTTTTATTTGTATTGTTATTAGAAAAAAATCCTTTCTTTTTTTTTTTTTTTTTGTCGGTCGTGGGGCCTGAACTCTGGGCCTGGGCGCTGTCCCTCAGCTCTTCAGCTCAAGGCTAGTGCTCTACCACTTGAGCCACAGCGCCACTTCCGGTTTTCTGAGTGTTTATTGGAGATAAGAGTCTCACGGACTTTCCTGCCCAGGCTGGCTTTGAACCTCGAGCCTCAGATCTCAGCCTCCTGGGTAGCTAGGATTACGGGCGTGAGCCACCAGCACCATCGAAAAAAATCCTATGTGGGAAAAAAAAAATGCATCCCTCCTGCATTGCTTATGGGAGTGAAGGATGGTATACTGCTTTGGAAAATAGCGTGGAAGTTTCTCAGAAAACTATCTGGCAGTGCCACCTTTGAGCCCACATCCCAGAGAACTGAAAGCGAGGGCTCAAAGCACAGATGGGCACTTGTGTTCACAGACCAAAGTTACTGTGGCCCGGGTGTGCATCCCATTGCAGTCGAGTGGGCAGGGAGACCGTGGAGAAGCAGTGAGCCACCATGACTGTGTGTGCCTGGAGGTGTCACTGTGCCGTGTGATATATGCCGGTCATAAAAGAGGTAAGTAGGATGCTGGCTGCAGAGGTTGGCAGGAGAGACGGGTTCTAAGAAAGTTCTGGAGATGAGTAGCGTGATGGCTGCACCATTGGGTGAGTGTTCTTCATGGCACTGAACTGTATGCTTACAACTAGTCAAAATGGTGATGTTTAGGTTATGTATATTTTGCTGAAGTTTAACAAATCATATTCCACTACCAATTCAGAATTTATATATAGACAAGGGCATACCAAAGCTCTTCACCAACTGATATGTATTATCAATTCCTAGCTACATTTTGCCTATGTGTTTCAAGATAAACCATATTACAAGTCTCATAAATTTTACCACACAACCTGAAATGATGTTGGCATGCTTTTATGTAGTTTTTTTTGGGGGGGTCCGATCGTGAGGCCTGAACTCTGGGCCTGGGCGCTGTCCCTCAGCTCTTCAGCTCAAGGCTAGCGCTCTACCACTTGAGCCACAGCGTCACTTCGGCTTTTTTCTTTTTGCTTATGTGGTGCTGAGGAATCGAACCCAGGGCCTCAGGCATGCAAGGCAAGCGCTCTACCACTGAGCCACCTTCCCAGCCCCTATGTAGTTTTTTTATCACTGCTGAAAGATTGTTGACCAGTAAAATGGCTTGTAGTGTAACTACAATTATGATTATAATTATGTTGGAATTAAAGCATCTGATAGCTCATTATGTACTATTACAGCAAGTACTGAGTTCCAGTGTACCAACTGGAAACAGGAAATGCCTGTGGAGATGTTTGCTTACAAACTGGAAGATAAAACTGCTTACAACTTTATTTTATTTTATCTTATTTTTGCCAGTCCTGGGGCTTGAACTCAGGGCCTGGGCACTATCCCTGAGTTTTTTTGCTCAAAGCTAGCACTCTGCCATTTGAGCCACAGCTCTACTTCTGGCCTTTTCTGTATATGTGGTACTGAGGAATCGAACCCAGAGCTTCACACATGCTAGGCAAGCACTCTACCACTAAGCCACATTCCCAGCCCAGCTTGCAATTTTACATAATTGAAATAAGTATTCACAGGGAGGTGGTGGTTCTTGTTCTTTTTTTTTTTTTTTGGGGGGGGGGGGGTCTAGTTGTGGGGCCTGAACTCTGGGCCTGGGCGCTGTCCTTCAACTCTTCAGCTCAAGGCTAGCGCTCTACCACTTGAGCCACAGCGCCACTTCCGGCTTTTTTCTTTTTGCTTATGTGGTGCTGAGGAATCGAACCCAGGGCCTCAGGCATGCAAGGCAAGCGCTCTACCACTGAACCACCTTCCCAGCCCATGGTGGTTCTTGTTCTAAAGCCATCACTGGAAATATACACAGAAAGCATGTTAATGAACATATATTTACCAGATGCCTTGCACATATATATGTATATAATTAACTTGAAGTATCATTTGAATTGAATGCTATGCATTGCTGATAAATACACATACTTGCAATGGAAAATTCTGTTTTCTGTTATTTGAACTCCCTACGTTTATTCAGTATGTTGGAAAATACTGTCTTGTTTTGGGGGATGAACCACATCTCAGCGTCATAGCTTTCAGATAGGGTCTTGTTATTTTGCCCAGGGTTGACCTCTGACCTCTGTTCTACTTCTGCTTCCTGCACCGCTGAGATTACATATGTATACCACCAAACCTAAGCATGTTTTTTCAGCAAAGCCTCCTTTACCCAGACTTGCCTGGAACCACAATCTTTCCTTCTCTGCCTCCTGCCTAGTTGAATGGCAAGTAAGCACCACCAGCCAGCTTCTCTTTTTCAAGAGAACTATTCCTAATAAAATCTTTACCATTCAAAATAAATGGATTTTTCTTTCTCCTCTTTCTGTCTTCCTTACCTTTAAAAAGGACTTAGTAGATGACTTAAGGTATGTATTGCCTCATAATTTTAATGTGTTTAAGAACCATAACTCATAAGCTGGGCCTCAGTGGCTCATGCCTATAATCCTAGCTACTCAGGGGGCTGAGATCTGAGGATCACAATTCAAAGCCAACCTGGGTAGGAAAGTCCATGAGATTCTTATCTCTAGTTAACCACCAGAAAACTGGAAGTAGCACTGTGGTTCAAAGTGGTAGACTAATAGCCTTGAGCTGAAGAGCTGAGGGATAGCACCCAGGCCCAGAGTTCAAGCCCCCCAACTGACAAAAAAACAAATAAATAAATAACCAAAACTTGAGGCTGGGTATGTGGCTTAGTGGTAGAGTGCTTGCCTAGCATGCATGAAGCCCTGGGTTTGATTCCTTAGTACCACATAAACAGGAAAAGCCAGAAGTGGTGCTGTGGCTCAAGTGGTAGAATGTTAGCTTTGAGCAAAAGAAGCTCGGGGACAGTGCCCAGACCCTAAGTTCAAGCCCCAGGACTGGCAAAAAAGAGAGAGAGAGAGAGTGCTTGCTCACATGAGAAAGAAAAGAATCGGGCTGGGGTTTAGCCCAGCGAAAGGGCGCCCACCGGGCACACGCAAGGCCCTGGATTCGGTCCTCAGCCCTGGAAAAAAATTAAAAAATTAAATAAAATTAAAAAAAAAAGAAAGATAAGAATCATCCATCATTGGGGGGGGGGAGAGGGAGAAAGAAAGAAAGAAAGAGGAAAGGAAGGAAGAAAAAGAAAGGAAAGAAAGAAAGAAAAGAGATTTATTGTCTTATAGATCTGATGAAGAAGTCTTGAGACCCAATTGCCAGCAGAGCTGGATCCTTCAGAGGATTCATGCCAGGGTTAGGAATATGGCTTAGTGGTAGAGTGCTTGCCTAACATGCAAAAAGCCTGAAGTGGTGCTGTGGCTCAAGTGGTAGAGTGCTAGCTTTGAGCAAAAGAAGCTCAGGGACAGTGCCCAGGTCCTGAGTTCAAGCCTCAGGACTGGCACACTCACACACAGAACAAACAAACAAAAAACAATAAAACAATGGGTTATATTGGAAAGTGCTTTTGACAGGGAGACAAGGGTAATAATCTACAGAGTCAGAGCCTGGCCATTGGCAGTAACCAAAGACCTAGCTATGGTCACACAGAATAAAGATGTAACTATGGTTCATTCATCATCAAACATTCACTAAAGGATGTATTCCGCAGCCCAAATACTACACCATC